TTAGTAATAGCTACCCATGTAACGTGACAGTGTTCTTAAGTGGCACTCCAGCATAGTAAAGTGAAGGAGTACTGGGAAGCTTTGCAAAGCAAGTTCAGTCTTACAGATCACACTACACTTGTATTTTTATAGCTGTTACATAAACTTTTCTGCAAGTGAAAACAGTCTGGCGCCAGGAACGAACTGACCCTGTTGGCTTTGGGCTTTACCTTATTTCCTGTGCCAGCACAGCAGATCCCCAGGGCCATTGCAGCTCCGTAGCGCACATGAGGGTTATAACTCTCTGACAACAAAGAAACAACACTTGGGCACTGTTCAGGAGTCCTGATAAGAAACAGAAAATGAAGACAGTGTTTTAGGTAACATATTACATATGAAAATGGAAAAACTCTAACCAAGTTTTTTTTTTTAAGTTACAGGAAACAATAGAACACTTGAGAAATAAATTGTAGAATTATATCTAACACAGAATTTTATTTGCTAATAGTGGAGATTTAACATAAGCAAAGAACAAGGCCCTCATCAGGGGTTCCTCAACCACATCTCTGCATTGCCATCGCTCCCTGGTGCCCTCCACAAGGGGAATAGCCAGGGAAGGGAACAGCACATCGCTCACATCTGCTTTCCTGGTCTCTGTGCCTTTTGTTACAGAGACTGCGGATGTTCCAGACTTAAATATCCTACTATGACTCTAGTTATGTACCAAGCTGGTAAAAAAAAAATCCCTGATAATGAGGAAATTGACTTTCTTTCGGCCTTAAGTGGCACTCCAGCCAATTATTTTGTGTTGATAAGTTAGTGAAGACTTTTCCTTTTCTTCTCCATATCTGGAGCAAAGACAACAACAGGACAAATCTGACTAATGGAATACCTGATCTGATCTCCTTCTTGTTCCAGTGGCTATCTCTGAGAAGCTGCAGGACTAGGCTAGTCAACAGAAAAGGGTGTAATGGAAGCTTCCAGGAGGCTGATAATGTTGTGATCTTGAACCTACCAGTGTCTACACAGGTGTGTCCATATGTGAAAATTTATAGAGCTATATGTAGGATAATAATTTGGGAAAATTTTCTGGATGTATATTAAACATTAGTAAAAAGTTTCAAAAATTTTTTTTAAAGACTATTCTGTTATGAATGAAAAGTTATTGCCACAAACCAGTTAAAATCCACAATTCTAAGCTGGAATTGTCCTCTAGCTTCAAACTCCAATGAGTGGTAAGTTCAAATTACAAAGGTAATATAGCCAGTTTACAAAAGAAACCACATTTATTACAATGAAATTGTGCTATAAGGGTAAATTGGGTTATTTCTACCTTCAATAGAGTTTATCAGTTTCTTAAATGTGTTCTGATTGAGCTTCCTTGTGTGAGTAATTTGGAGATAATATTAATGGCAGCAATATGGAAAAATAGAATGGTGTAAAAAAAGCATTGTGCTCGGAAATGGATTTTAGCTTTGCTACTGTGTTAGTTTTATTATATTAGGCAAGTCACTTAGGTTTTATTTTCTGAAATTAGTAGATTTTCCTGGCTATTTCACAGGAATAATGTGAAAAATGGATGAGCAAATAACTGAAAATACAATAAAGATGAATTTTCAGTGAACACATGAGTTATTTAACAATAAAGTTGCATATGTATGAAACTCGTATTTTAGATATGGCTGTCTCTGAACAGTTGAACCAATTAAGAAGCCCTGAGTTCAATCCCTAGTACCACCAAAATATTAAATAAATAAAATTGTAAGTGTGTATATGTACATACACACAGAGAGAGAATGAGAGCGAGGAAGAGAGAGAGAGAGAGAGAGAGAGAGAGAGAAGAGAGAGAGCACCTGTTCCAATTTTATAATTCTATGATTTTTAAAAATGAACCAATTGGGGTTGGAGGTGTGGCTCAAGTGGTAGAGTACCTGCTTTGGAAGCCTGAAGCCCTGAGTTCAAGCCCCAGCCAATTATCATAGGTTTAAATTATAGGACAACTTTAATGAGTAATATTCCTACAGACTAAAAATGAAGTTTAAAGTGCCATTACACTAAAGAGGATGTTAGAATATCATTCTACAACTTAAAATTGACACAACCATCATTAAACTGCTTTTTGCTCCTATCAGGCTAAGAACTGAAAGCTCTGACAAATTTACATATTTTGCCACCTAATTAACTACAAATAGGATCACTCAGGACTAAAAAAGTCTCTAGCCCAGCATGGTGGTGCATGCCTGTAAACCTAGCTCTGTGGGAGGCTAAAAAAAATGGGCGGATTACAATTCAAGGCCAACCTGGGGAAAATGTTCATGAGACCCCCATCTCGAAAATAACCAGAGCAAAATGGACTGGAGGTATGGCTCAAGTGGTAGGACGCCCGCTTTGCAAATGTGAAGCCTTAAAGATCAAAAACCCCAGGCCCACCCAAAAAAAAAAAA